ATATGGGAAGCAGCAGTACCTATCGAATTCCTAGTGGAGCGTGATGATGATTCTGGTGACGCTTGCCGACCATGTTATGCAATGCTTCCACGATGCAGTTATTTCTCTCTTCATCTTACAAGGGTGATTATGTTCTGAGTGCACCCAAAGAGTATTCATCCTTATTGTTATAGATACTGGAACAAGTGAGAGCTCGTGAGGAAAGTGTGAAATTGGACGCGGACAAGGTATGGCTGGAATGCAACGGGGTACCATTGAAGACGTACTATCCCGTTGGGGTATTATTCGATTTATACAAACCTCCTGATTCGCCGACAATAACTGTATTAATAAAGTGGGTCAGTTTACAGTCAATGTCAATATGTTGTTCATTTTTTAAATTCAGAACTACGCCTCGCCCGGAGGGAGTTTCGTTAGTGTCGAAAGACACAATGGAATCAATATTTATGCAGTCTTTGAAGGAAGCAAACTACCTAAAACGTCGGAAGGATCAGGTTCGACTATTGTCGCCACTCTTCATCACTAGTTTTCGCCTGCAAATATGGCAATCTTACCTAAAATGTAGTTTATGAGGACCAAGAATGTCGGATACATTTTTTGGGTGTAGTGGGTCCTTAACGACGTGTTGTTCATCCAAGCAATCGGCTTTGGCATTTTAGTAAAATCATCTGGCACTTCTTGAGGATTCCTCACCGAAAATTTGTGTTCGCCTTGTGGAAGCGTGGAGGCGAGGTGTGGGATTTGAGGAGAGTTTGCGTTGTACATTTTGAGACACTAAGGATAGCGAAGTGTGGAGAAAATAGCGTCGCATCTGCTATCTTGGCGGTCGCATATACATACTCCCCCTCCTAGTTCCTTAGGGACTGTATTTTCACTGAGGAGGAAAGAAATTGGCCAAAATTTCCTCGACACATTACTCACCCTGACCTCAGATCGAGCCGATAATACTGCACTAGGATTGTTTCTGCAGCATGAAATAAGAATAGCAAAAAATTGGCTTGTTGCAAACTCGTCGTTCACTGACGAGTTTCCTGAAGGAGTACTCAAAACCGCAATGTGAAGTCAACTTTGTAGACCAGTTCCATGTAGACAAGTTCTTTTTCAGGTAGTAAGTACTATGAAAATCGACGAACACAAACAGCTCTGGTCAGGACTTGTACATGGTGAGTCGCTTCCGTCGTCAATAAGTAGCTTTCGTTTCATCTCTCCTTTCAAGATCGCTTCGATGAATTCTGGAGTATTAACCGGCGTCTCATGGAGTGTACCGAAGAGCGACCATTCCATGACATTCCCATTCGGCTCTACATCACTGGGCAGCCATTCCGTCAAGTATGTCATTCTACGGCAATGTATTAGCGGAAGTATCAAGAAAATGTACAATGTTGGAATGTTATAGGTTCCACAACCACCGCACGATGAGAACGGCGAGCCTCGAACCCTGTCACACGCACTAGCGTCACTTTCTTCTGATCTCGTGGAAGACGGGAAGTATCGGTTTATATCTCACGGTATCACTCTTCCGCTAGAAACACCCCTCACTTATTTAGGCAAAAATTTTGCTTATCCGGATAATTTTGTGCATATATGTGCTGTTTCCGACAATAGCACCTGAGTTTGAAATGTGTGTAGAATGTACATAAAAAATTATTTGCAAGAAAATGTCAATAGTTATGTATAGAGCACGTAATAAGAAAAGGTCTATTTCACCGACATATATTGAATACACCACCTCAGCTATGAGAGACTGAAAATATATTGAAAGGCGTCACCAACCAGTCAAATTAAAAGCTTCAAGCTAACAAAGTAACCGTAGTCAACAACCAAAAATACCTATTTGAAGGCAACAAAATATTTCTTAAACAATGTTATCAGCACAAATGAAAAAAATATCAGTACATATTAACTTAAATCTATGGTTATTGATTTAATACTCGTAGTGAATTGGCGACATTTTACACCGGCAAGAGCAAACATTTTCCTAGCAGCGTCATATTGCCATTTGCCAGCTGGGCGATCTCGAAGGAATACCACCTCAGCTATGTGAGACTGAAATTAGCATGTCATCAGATCATCAGTGGTAATTCGCAGTGAACAGCTTAATATCGGGTTTCCTGAACTATATGTTAGCTTCATCAATCCTTCAAGACGCGCCAATTACTAGGTTTTCCGTTAAGGCTGTTAAGGCATTTCGAATGACACATGCATTGTATGGTCAGTCAATGTTGAAGACCTTCGTGAAAGTTTACCGACGTTTGAAAGGAACCATACTCATCTCTGGTTTCCAAAAACCCTTCTGGACTGTTTCCTACATCTTACCGTAGCTATCATAGACGGTTATCGAAACTACGGAAGTTGCAATATATGGTCACAGAATGTCCAGAAACGTCACAAACGCTGGTATGACAAACTGTAGAAAAGGCGCGACAGGACCAACATGAAATATGCGAGCAACATACAATACTACCATTGATAAACATAGTACAGGAGGGTATAAAGCCGATCTTAGATTGCCATGGTAAAAGCGTCGGAAAAAATCTGTGGTTTCCGATATCGACATATTTCTTGTTATAATGGGCATCGCCTTTTAAACTGCGAAGGAAATGCTTCTGTGGGCGCGCTAACTACTATAAGCAGTCGCTTCCCCAGAATGTATCAAAATGTTGAAAGATGGAACGAAAGAACGTCTGCATCATTCCAAGCTATACACACCTGTATGATCATTTTGGCGCACTCGTTGCACGGCAACATCGTCGTATACATCGTGCAGCCTTCGATGTTATTCATGCTTTT